GTGTGTGTGTGTGTGTGTGTGTGTGTGTGTGTGTGTGTGTGTGTGTGTGTGTGTGTGCAATAAATTAGACATTCGAGTTTTTTAATAATTGTATTTTTAACTGTCCGCTCACAATCTTCGTGCATGCTCCGCCCTCTGGTGGTAAAGCTCAGCTTGACGCTTCAAAGCGGAACCCTCTTTTATCAACCCGGACTTGTTTTGGTGTAACACACAACACCCGTGTGCGACATGCCATCATCAACRCAAACCTTACTTGCTCCTTTAAACGTGATTTGCGTAAGTACTAAGTGGTTATTAGTGTATTATTTTGCTCAACTCGTCACGCGGAAACACGTATTTTGGACTTTGTCGTTTAAATCGTTAATACACGCTTTAGCTCGTGCCTCAAACATTAGCATTAGCTCAGTTAGCATGCCGACTTTGAACTTTATTATCTTTTAGCCATGGTTGCGCCTTTTTTCATTGAGTTTTCGCAACATTTAAACACCCAATTTTCACTTTTTAAACAATGTTACCAAACCTATAAGCTATTCAGCGCCGTATTTATGATTTATTAAAACCAACCGCAGAGATGCTAGAAATGTTTTTTCTACAACTTGAGTTTATTTTTAACATGTTGGTGAGTTTTTAGAGCTCTGTGTGTCACATGCCGAGGGGCCTTTGAGCAAGGCTGAAGCCTTCATGCCTTATTATGGAAAACTGGATGATCTAACCCTAATTTCTTTTATATTCATTTGTTCAAGTCAGTTCTTCAAACTGTGGGATCAAGAATATTTCTTTCTCAATATCTATGAAAATTCTTTAATTTGCTTATTACTGTAGAATAAGATATTTTAGATTATTTGTAGATTGGTGGAATAAAACAGTATTGATCCATCTCTCTCTCAAGTCAAACACTTTTTTTGGTAACACTAATATTTATTATTCATGTTTTATTTGTCACATTTTCAGGCTGAAGGCAGACTCTCCTGAAACGCACCCAGCTGCTTCTGAATCATGAGTGGCTCAAAGCCGGACATCCTGTGGTCCCCCCACCACCCGGACCTCTACGTCATCTGTGACTCTGAGCTGGGCCTGTATCGAATCGGACCTGTGGGCGGCACAGAAACGAAGCCCGGCACTCTGTCGCTCTCTAAAGAAACCGCTGCTACTTTACTGGCCATAAACTCTGACACCCCTTATATGAAATGTGTGGCCTGGTACCCGAAGCACGAGCCCGAGTGTTTACTCGCTGTGGGACAAGCTAAYGGCAGAGTCGTGCTCACCAGTTTGGGTCAGAACCACAACTCCACGTGTAAAGAGCTGGTGGGGAAAGAGTTTGTGCCCAAACACGCCCGTCAGTGCAACACTTTAGCCTGGAACCCCGTGGACAGCAACCTACTGGCTGCTGGTTTGGACAAGCACCGGGCAGACTTCTCTGTTCTTATTTGGGACATCAGCAGCAAGTTTGCCCCGGAGACCAGCGTGGCAGCGGAGAAAATCCGGCTCTCGTTTGTGGATTTGGACTCGAGCTCGGTGGTGACCAAGCCGCTGTATGAGTTGGGCCAGAACGACGCGTGCCTCTCCCTCTGCTGGCTGCTTCGGGACCCAAAGCTGCTCTTGGCYGGCATGCACCGAAACCTCGCAATATTTGACCTGAGAAACACGAGCCAGAAGATGTTTGTCAACACCAAGGCCATCCAGGGCGTGACGGTGGACCCGCACTTCCACGATCGCGTGGCCTCCTTCTTCGAGGGCCAGGTGGCCATTTGGGACCTGAGGAAGTTCGAGAAGCCTGTGCTCACGCTCACAGAGCAGCCCAAACCGCTCATTAAGGTACAAAGATGCCTTTTTTTTTATTAGAGGTCCTGTTTTTTYATTGAGTGACTGCTTAACCTGATGACTTTCCTGCTTTTGTTTTATTGTTCTGTGTTCTTTACRGTCTAACCACTTCTGACTTCTTTGTTCATTTTTTAGCTTTTCAAATTTAAAAATGTTCAATTCACTCAGGAGAAAAGTGCTATGACTTTTGGGTTTGGTAAATGTTACCTTACAAAATATAAAACAATATTCACAAATATTTCCCCCATAAAAATACATTTAGATTTCTTTCAACTCTTTAAAGCTTTCAGCTAGTATTATGCTAATTTTAGCTGTTAGCAACCYTTTTGCTGCATTTAGCTTTTAGCAACCATTCCTTACTTTTACCTTTTTAGCTAGTGTTGTGTTACTTTTAGCTGTTAGCTTAGCTTATGCTGCTTTTAGCTAGCGTAATACTTTATTTTCTAGCTACCTGTTTGTTTTAATTAGCTTTGAGTGAGCTTCTTGCTAACCATTTGCTACTTTTAGATTTTATCTAGTGTTAATGCTATTTGTTGCTTTTAACTTAACTTTTGCTGCTTTTAGCTAGTGTTATGCTACTTTTGGCAAGCTATTTTCTACTGTTATTTTCTAGCTCCCAGCTTATATTAGCTTTTAGCTAATGTTTAACTAATTTTAGCTAGGGGTTTGTTACTTTTTAGCTGTTAGCAACACTTTTGCTGCATTTAGCTTTTAGAAACCATTCGTTACTTTTACCTTTTTAGCTAGTGTTGTGTTACTTTTAGC